GTGTGTGTATGTATTACAATCAAGATAATTTAATTTTACAGTAGTTACTCCTTTATCTATATGGGAAAAGCTTTTCCAGAAGTGTCATATGCAGTAAATCAGACCCATTAATGATGTTGCCCTTTTCATTTGTTGCTTCTTTTTGCAGAAATTCAAATAGAAGAACCATTTCCAATATGTGCATGTTCATCAGACCCATAGTTATGGTACTTAGGTTTCAAGAAAGTTTAAGAAATGTCAAAATAGTGGGGGGGTTTTTCTTTTCTGTGTGACTGTAGTTTCCTCCTCTTTTGAATAAACTTCCCTCAGATAAACACATCTCAGAACTTTTCTACATGTTATGCAGGAGGTGGCGGCAGAATTATGAACCTAATGCAATTAAAGGAGGGTTAAAACAATAAAAATCTCTATGCATTTTAAAAGTGCATGCAAAAGAGAAAAAAAGCATAGTCTTCTCCCTTGTGGGCTAATTTCTGATGTACAAGGAACTGTATTTGTGAAAGTATTCACCGCTTCTGCAGACTGAAGTAGTATAAGCCAGAATCCTTCATCTCTGTCTACCACTGTTTCTTTACATACAACCCAGTAGAACTGCAGTGCAGTGTTCCTGGAGTGTATCATTTAAGACTACAGGAAATATTCACTGTCCTCTTCCTCTCCCCTCATAATACAGTCCCTAAATCAGCGTTCTCCATGGTCATGAAGGCTGGGGTTGATGGGAGCTACAGTTCAACAGATGGAGGTCACCCAGTTCAGAAGGACTGCTATAAACACACAAAAACTAGCATATTGGAGAGAAAATTCTTGTAATAAATTGCAGAGGGGAGGTCTCTATCTGTGATATTTTAGGAGTGTTTAAATTCCATATCCCTCATCCATTTGGAATGTGATGTGGTAGCTCATAATTATTACATCAGCCATTAGAGAAGCCATTAACCCAAATGTGACTTCTCTTTGTCATCACACTCACAAGTGTATTGAAAAAGAAAACAAGCAAGGTTGGATCTGAGATCTGCTTCTCACAAGTGGAAAGTCCCTTGCCTGATTTGGGAGATCTCAACACCCCACCCCACCTCACCGAGCAGGGCCTTCAAATTGGTTGCATTTTCAGGGGGCTGCTGTTGAAAGGAAGGTGTGGGAAAGCCCCCTTCTGCCAGTCCAGTTTAGAACTGGATTCAAGCCACAGACTGGCAGTGTCTTCCTTCAAGCAAGCTACCTCCCGACTCCCTTGTGTTTCCCCCAAACCGGTTTTGTGGCAAAGTCAACCCCGCTTGGGCAAGTCTACTCAATGATCTTGTTTTGGCTTGGCCCCTTTTATTCATATGTCGTTTGTCTGTTCACTGCACCTAGTCAAATGCACTCCCAGCTAAACATGCTGGGAACAAAAAAGCAAATCCGCGTTCTAAACCTTGCTGTCCAAAATATAAAATGGTTTTCCATGTGCTGGGATTTCACATTGGGTCAGGGTGAGGAGCCTGGGTTGCATTCAGACCACTCTGTTAGCACCAAGGGTGCCCGGCACTTAGCACTGACGGTTGAATCCAGAAGTAGTAATTACGCGCGTAGCACTTCTCATTCTAAAAAAAGCTAAATAGGCCTCTGGGCTCATGTACATAATAAAATTGCTTAATAAATAATTAACAAAAACATAATGGATGAAACATTAAAAATGACATCACCAAGTTCTATCAGCTGCCCAACCCCCCAGTTTCAGTGATACTATTCTTAATGTAGGACACAGTTCTTTCAAATGCTTTCCCTTTCATTTTAAAGCAAGTTTTAAAATATGTTTCTCTATAAGATTACGTGGTTAGATTATAGTACCTTAAATTATACTTTGCATGCTAGGAAACTCCCCTTACAAGATAGTTTTGCATTGAAGTATATTACTTTGTTCATTAGATATCAGCTAAAATTATTCATTAATCATTACTCTTGTTGTCAGGATCTTTCTCATTGCTTGTGACATTTGCTCTTTGAAATTATTGTGATATTGGTGTGATGTGAGGGGTTCTTCTCTTATCTTCCTGCTTTTGTTGGTAATTCCCCCTTCTTTTGTTAATTTTTTTAATTCTTTATATTTTGCTGTGACCTGGGAATGTAAGAATGGCTTCCTGCCAAATCTGTGATCTGCTGGTTGCTTCAAAATGGAGGCAGGAAGGTATCCATTTTCAGCAAGGAGATGGGAACGTTTTGGTCTTCCTGACCATCTGGGCTATGAAGGTCTTAAAAAACTGGAAGAAGTATTTTGAATATAGAGTTCTCTGCACTAAAAATACAAACTGAATCAAACTAAAAAAAAAAAAAAAACCAAAAAACTAAACCCCTCTCCATTAAACTACAATTTAAAAAGTATGTCGAGGCATTAAAAAAATCTGTTTAAATTAAATCAAAGTTAAACAAAAAATGAAAGAGATTGTTTGTATCCCTTACGAAGAAATGGTTAGAAAAATCTCTGTTGTATTAGTAAACAAATGTTAAGTAAATTAGGTTTTTGGCATACTTGCTAAGTTTATTGCACATACAAATATGCTAAGTACTAAAAAGGAGGTTCCCCCTCTCCCAAAGTACACGCACACTGCCTTGGTGGTCCTGTGCCGATCCTGATTTTTAATGTCTCTTTCAAGCTTCTTAGCAAAGACCAAAGACCATAGGAGGTTATTATCCTGGGGTATGTTTAGAATTTTCAGTTCTCTTGAGTGCTGCTTTCTAAATTCCATTTTTCAGTTGTTGGAAGAAAGGCCTGATTTCTTGCTTTCTTTCACTGTTCTTTTAATGTACGAAATCTGCACATTTCCACACAATGCAGCAGCGATACGGCTTTTTAAAAAATTATCTTAAATTCCATGATATTACAGTTCCACTCTGCATACACATCCAGAGTGTTTACAACCAGGCAAAGCAGATAGAATTCACTACAGCCGTGGATTTCTGTGGTATTTGCCCCAATTTATAGGCATTCCCCTTTGGCTGTCCCCATACTTCAGGGCATATAATTAATATCACTGCTCACGGCTTCTGTATTACAACTTCACAGTCCATGTTTTAGTGGAGCCATGGCTCACAGGGACGGTGACGTAACTGCCATACCAGTCCCCCAGTTCCCTCTTCCTCTGACTTTTATCCCTCCCCCAGAAAAGGAGGGAAAGGAATTTTTCTCAGTAACAACAAATTGTTCCCTCTTGTTTAAAAAAAAAAAAAGTATTTTGCCCATGTCTGGTTCTAAAATGGAAACTCAGACTCAGCAACTCTAGAAAAGACTTGTTCTTGGTGGAAATAAAACTGCTAGAATCCCTACTAATCTCTAAGTTAGACTACTACAATGCGCTCTGTGTGGGGCTGCCCTTGAAGACAGTTTGGAAGCTGCTGCTTGTGCAGAATGTGGCAGCCAGATTAATATCGGATAAGATGGTCTAATCATAATAACAATTATGGGCCACTTGCACTGGCTGCTCATACACTTCTGGGCAATTCTGGGTGCTTGTTTTGACCTACAAAGCCCTACATGCCTTGGGTCCATGATAGATGTAACACCTCTCCCACCCTTTCTCTACCTGGGCATCAAGATCAAGTTCGGGAGCCTGCTCTGACTGCCACCCCTGAGGCTCAGATGGCGGCAACATGAAGAAGAGCCTTTTCTGTGGTGCCCCCACCTCCAGTTGTGAAATGAGCTTCCCACGGAGACCCACCTGGTGCCAACTTTACTAACCTTTTGGTGCCAAGTAAAACCGCCCTCTGCTACATGGCACTTTGTTACTGGGGCCTGCTGGTTATTAGGCAGAGTTTAACAGGGTCTCTTTAATGTATAATTTTGTTTTTTTCTGTTTTTATTTGGCTGTACATTTTGTATGGCTGACTCTTATGATGTTTCAATATGTTTTAATTGGTTCTTTATATTATTTTTAAATATGCCATTGTGAACCACCCAGAGAGCTTCAGCTGTTGGGTGATATAGAAATTAAATAAATAAATAAATAAATAGAACTAGTGGTTACTATGGATGAACACAGCTGCCTAAACGTTCAGCGTCTCCTTGCTGCTATGACGATTCTCATGATAAGCAGCTGTGTTACAAAACCCGACCACTATACCACTGCTAACAGCTTGACCCACTCTCTCATCTTCTGCTGGGCTTTGTAAGAATTCCAGGTAGATGCCATTCTTAGCAGTCGTGCCTCCACTTCTTATCCCCAACAAAATGACAATGATACTTCAGCCACATTTATCTGGGATGGGGTGGGCAAATCTGCCAGTGTTGTTTTTGCCTGCATGCAGCTTCTTTTAAATCTCTATGGACATCTTTGCATATTTTGGCAAATTCTTATAAAAATGAACAGCAGTAAAATCCTCGTCCATCTGCACCAGCCATATTCAATAGGCTATTTCCAGCTGTTAAAGATGAAGAGCTTGTCAGTGCCTTTTACCCACGAGTCTGCACTGGGGAGGAGAATATGGAAAACACCCACTGCATGAGCAGAACCTCACTCTTGTTTTCCACCCTCTCCACCCCATCACAGACTCTTGAGCAAAATACGCAGGGGGGATGTGAGCAAGTGACATTCTGCACATGTAAAGCACCTTTGGATCTAGTCCTGTGGTTATGTGATACTCCTCAGAAGTTCACACAAAGGAATTAGAAAAGTATTCATTTATTTTAAAAGGCCATTTCCATGTAGAGAACCAGTTACTAGAAAGAAACTTTCTGTCCTAGCTTCTCTGGCATGTTAGTTTTCTGTGTGGTGGAGAATCCTTTTTCATATGGAGGTGTTACTCAGTCTGAAAAGGTATCAGCCAAATTCGTTTACCACCTGATTGTGAACTGGGCCCTTTTCTGGTTGGTTTTTATTAAGCAGTGCTGTTATGATCTGGATACATGGTATATGGCATGTGGAAGGTCACCATTTCACTTCCACCTTTTCAGTGTATTCCGTTGTAGCATATTTGCCAGTCATTCTTGGAAGCATACCAAATACATTTCCTTTCTGTCTGTCTCTCTCTAGGTTTATGCCCCTTCTGCAAGCACTGCCGACTACAATCGGGATTCACCAGGCTATCCATCCTCAAAACCAGCAGGCAGCACTTTTCCTAGTTCCTTCTTCATGCAAGGTATGACAGTGCTATTGAAGAAAGTTGGCTGCACGTGCATTTTCGGATCCAGTGGCTTAGTTGTGCTGATTCAGAAATCCAGTTCTTAAATTCATAAAGGGAAACCAAAGGATCTTCTGGAGCAGGTTTTGCAGGCCCTGGGAGCAGTATGGCAGAGGGGATGTACAACCACCAAAGCTTGCCTTCATCCCTGTTCTGCTGATGGAAGCCTCCACTGCAACAGTCTTTGTCACAGGAAGAGCTCTAATTGGATGGAATCCTAAAACATAAAAGAGCTAATGTAGGATGAAATTACACATTAATGTGTGTCTGTCTGAATAACAGTGTTCTCAGAAAAGTTCCATGCGAAACCAAACCTTCCACAGGGAAGGATCTTGTGGTACCGCCACAGAGAAGGCCATGTCATTAGTTATTCACCCATCACATTCCCAAGATTCCAGTAGATCTATATGGGTAAATATGCTACACGATATTTCATCTGCCTATCTTTGCTGATTCTCATATTTTTATAGCAGTATCTCTTGTTTAGTAAACAACATGGGCATGGTTGACTTCACCATGGGTACAAATGGAGGATTCCCATGTCCTCTTGACGTTCTCCACCCTATTTTTAAGTAGAGAAATTACACGGACTGAATCTCTTCTTGTATAAATTCTCCAACAGTTTCTCATAGGTAGGATTCACTACTGGCAGGTGTTGTTATTACATTTCTATACCTCCCATAGTCAAAGCTTTCTGGGCAGTCCACAACATTTAAATCACCCTCCAAATTTCAACCAGGCCTGACCTTACTTAGCTTCCAAGATTAGGCAGGGTCAGGATCAGGGTGCTGCATCACAATTTCTTGCTTCTTTCCTCAGGGTTGTGCTGTCACGGCTGTTGTAATAGCATAGCATCCTTTACCATGCTCCATAATTATGCATTGTAAACCACCTAGGAAGGCCTTGGCAATTACAGGCATCCTATAAATATATGTGCATAAATAAATAAATACTTAGTGTTATTTGAGGGGTGTGTGTGTGAGGAGGTGGCCCCCATAAAATTGTGGAAAAAATTATTTGGTGGCCAACTGGGCAACTTATTTTTCCTTTCTGTTATACAACACTCCATTGCTCTGCAGCTGTCAAAAGCCCTGTGGGAAGAATTACTTCATGACATCTTCCCCGGGGTTAAACTGAAGTGCAGGAAGTGAAAGAGGCTGCAGAGAACAGATTTTATTTATGTATTTATTAGATTTATATCCCACCCCTTTAGCCAGAAAGGTTCTATGGACATGTCTAATGAAAAGCAGTACATTCACACATAGTCCCTGGCTGCAAAATAAGGAAGGTGAGGGCAGTAACACTGAACCCAACCAATAAGAATTTCTTCAAAATTTTCTTCCCCTTTGCATTTCTTTGAAACCTTATCAGAAAATGAGAATGGTCAAAAAGAAGGGAAGAAGAAGAAGAAGAAGGATTTTTTCAACACAGCACTCACCCCCATTCCATTCTCCTGCGCTTGCCATTACAGCAGGTGTTTAGGAGAAGGTGGGCAGCAGGGGAGCTTGGTGGTTCCCATGTCAGCGGCACTCCTTATCCATTGTAGCTTTTCTTCTGAACTTTGTAAGAGCTTTCCAGGGTGCTGAACATCTAAAGGTTTAGCACCATGGATAGCTCTTACAGAGTTACGGATTCCCATGAATATAGGTATCCCCTGCCTTTCCTGGTGGCAGAAGATTGTTAGATTAGGATTTGTCGCTAGATTTCAAGGTGATCTGAAGTAGATGGGCAGCAGTTTATAACTCCCAGCTGTGTCAAAAGGGTGTCAGAAAATATCCCCCACTTCTGCTGATATAAAGAAAGGTGAAAAGAGGCAGGCAGCCAGAATACAGAAGGATAGCGAGCTCAGCTCAGTTCTGATGCACAAAATGAATTGCTAAGCTTATAAATCATTAATTCATTTCAGACATTATAAGCATATGTTTCTTGTACCAGGCTCCACTTGTGGATCTTTGGGTTCTAGTAAAAAATGAATCATAGAATAGTAGACTTTGAAGGGGCCATGAAGGCCATCCAGTCCAACCCTCTGCTGTTGCAGGACACCAAATTATGCCATCTCACTCAGATGGTTGTCCAGTTTCATTTTCAGTGTCTCTAGTGTGGGAGAGCCCACCACCTCTCTCGGCAAACAAAGGGCAGAAACGTAGGCATGTTTAGGCAGAAGACTCCCAACTTACCACTGGCTGGAGTGTGCTGTAAGTTGTAGGCCTTTCTTGTGCCTAAACTTACACAGAGTTGTGCTTAGGGTATTGATCAGCCCTGAAATCTGCATATCCCTGCTTTAGAAGGCATGGGAGATGAATCTACTTCCAATATTCCTATCAGTAATTATGATCTCTGATTGATTGATGCAATGACATTACAGCTTGTAGACAGTAGCCCAGTGAGACATTGAAACTCCTCTAGAGAAAATGCTTTGTGTATGGGACAGGACTGACCTTTTGATTTCTATTTGGACTTTGATCAAACATCAGCAAAAACTATTTTAAGCTTCCATTTTTGCCCTTGCAAAGATGTATAATATTCAGGTTTTTATAAATATAACACAAGCTAGAGTAAAACTTTTGCATATGCAGTCTATGACTAAATGCAGGGTGATTTGAAAAATGCCATTTGCTGTTGGGTTTAGGAAACTTTGTGTGTATGTGTGTGTGTGCATCTCATGAATATGTACTTAAACAAAATTAGTGTAGCTCTTAGGAGACAAAGGGGTGATAACATAGGTTCCTATTTGTGATGGCAGTTTTTTATTGTAAACCATTATCCATTGGAGTGGCACGTAAGGTGTTCATCAAACCCTATTAGAATGCTAATTTTAACATTTACTGGAAACACAGCATCAGAATATTAGATAACCAAGCCTTCAGAAAAGCCATATTTTTCTTTCCATTTTACAGACGGTCATCACAGCAGTGACCCATGGAGCTCCTCCAGTGGGATGAATCAGCCTGGTTATGGCGGAATGTTGGGCAATTCTTCTCATATTCCACAGTCCAGTAGCTATTGTAGTCTTCATCCTCATGACCGCTTGGTAAGACTGTATTTCTGTTTCGAAACAAAACACATGTGTACCATAAAATAAAAAACACAATTGGGAAGAATTTAAGGCAGACACACACCTGCCCACTTGACCTGTCCCCCGCCACCTGCAAAAAAAAACAAAAACAAAACATGTCTATTCCTTGCAATGTTTTTCCTATTAATCGTTAATTTGCTTTTAACAAAACCCAGATTTCCCTAAGGACTGTGTTAACAGATCCTTGTTTTTAAATGGATGAAAATGAGGGGAAAGAAAAAGAGAGCATGTTAGAATGATAATTCCTATAAGTTTCATTGGAAATCCCCAAGCAGGGGTAACTGACAGAAGGTCTGTGGAGATTTTCCAGTTCCTTGCATAACACTCTCATCTCTGTTAACCTGTTGGATTCTGTAGTCATATTTGGAGATGTTTTCTGCCCAACTCACTTTCCCTGTCGCCCACTCTGCCCTGCCAACCCTCTCCTCCCTCTGTGCACTCCAGATCTGCGCCAGAGGATTCACTGTTCTTCTGGAGACCATTCTGATTCTGTTCTCCTGGGAGCATATGGTGCCTGGAGGTGGAGAGAGAAACCCGTCCCACTAGTGGTTTCTGCTCCACTAGAAGTTTCCATTCTGCTAGTGTATGACCCCCATGCATGAATATATGCATACATACATAGGCAGACATAAGGAGAAAGAGCAGCTGAGGTGAGGTGTAGACCACCTGATGGAAGGGAGACCATTGGGTGAAATTTTCCAAAGGCCCTCAAACACCTGGATCTGGCACTGGAACTGACTCTCAGTCTTCTGACAGAGATCTGGTTGGCCACTGAGTGAGCAGAATAGTGGTCTAGATAGGGCTTGGTCTGATCCAGTGTGGCTCTTCTGATGTTCTTGAGATCTTCATCCCTGCACCAACTCATTTCCCTGTGTGTGATCTTTCACAGGAAGAAGCACAAGTTTGCTCTTACAGATCCAACCTTGTGTGGAAATCAGCCTTTGTTGTATATAAATGACTTCTTTTGACAAGCCTAAGTGGTATTTCAATGCTAAATTAGGCCCGCTAAATCTTGGGCATGTTCCTGCTGAGATTCAACCCTTTAAAATCCCTCTGATTCACTAGGGCTGATGTCCCTAAACACTTTTACAAATAGAGTGGGCTGACTTCCAAGTAAATAAGTATAGGATTACACTGCATGAGAGTTAAACCAACACTTGATTTCTTTCCATTCACCTCAGTGGATCCTGAAGGTCAAATAGATTCCTTTGGCTGAGTGAAACATGTTGTTTATAATATGTGGAAAATCTTGACCACAGTTTGGATTTCAACTTTGATTGATGTTTTTAAACTTTATATGCATGGTGTGGATTTAAACGTATAACTATCCTGGTACAGGGCAGAATATTTGTGAACAGATCCCATGTCTTTAAAATGTGACATAGCACACATTCCTGTTTATGGTGTCCTTCTGTATGAGGTGTATTCTCTGAGAATGTTCATGTAGTTTGTTTCATACCCAGTTCCTGTTTGCATCTGCTGTTGCTCACTATGCACAAAGGGGAAAATTACACAAATCAGGCAGAAATTGAACATTTGAATAAGCCCCTGTTCAATTTGTGCAAATTTCTTTAATGTATGTAACTCTCCTAAATACTCTGTCTCTCCATAGTGGGGCTTATTCTGTCTAGGAGGAAAAGTTACACAGATTACAAAATATCCATGTATTTAGGAAATTTGTGCAAATTGCATACAAGCAATTTAAGAAACATTTTCTGCAGGCACATGGATGTGATTGAGTTTCAAGTGGCTAGCAAGGCACGTGTGCATGGTTTGTGAGCAAAAGCAAAATTCCCATACATGCCTATATAAGGATTTCCAAGGAGAAGGTTCACACCTTGACCTCTTCACTGACAGGTGGAAATCCAGTAGGGGACTAAACTGGCAACCTGTCTCTCAGTGATGGGTTGCCCAGACTGAAGGGAAAAGTGTGAGTAAGGGAAAATGTGAAGTCTGCAAAACAGTGCTTGGTAGGATTAAAGTAGACAGGGGGCCTTTCTCCTTCCTCATTCATAATACTAGAACCCAGCATGGTCTTTCCATGAATCTGGTTGGTTGGAGATGCAGGACACATAAAAAGATGCATTTCTTTGGAAGTGCATCGTTAAACTCATGCTTGGATAATTCATGCTTGGATGTAGTGATGACCACACATTGAGACCAGTTCCTGGAGGATCAGGCTATCAGTGGCTTCTAGTCCTTGTGCTTACTCCCAGTATCAGAGGCAGGATGCCTGCATACACTAATTGCCAGGGAACGTGAGCAAGAGGTGCACTTCCACCCATGTTCTGCTTGTGGGTGGTCACTGTGAACTAGAGGGGCACCGGAATCTCTGGTGAACTTGCTTGGTGCAAAGATGGAACAATGATCTACAGGTCTCCTAGTTTATGTCCTGTGGTGCTTTTACCTCCCGTCTTTCCAGATCCATACCAGAAAGGCTATAGTGAATAGGCTTCAGAGTGCACTAGAAACAGAGACCACTGGGGCTCTGTGGGAGCTGGCAAAACTTGATATAAATAGAAGTTTTGACACTCTTTATTTGAAAATAATTAAGAGCTGGAAGGCCTAAAGTGGGACATAGGAACCCGAAGCAATTACAACACTGAACCTTTCATCAGTGGCATGTAAGACGTGTATAGATATTTATATCAGATAGTCTTAAGAAGCAAAAAGCCTATGCAAAACATATGTTGAAAGAAGGTGAAAATGAACCTACCACACAGATGCAATGATGATGCACTGCTTTGAGGGCTGAAAGATTCTCTTGCCATGTGTTCCACCACAGAGCTACCCATCACACTCCTCAGCAGACATCAATTCCAGTCTTCCTCCAATGTCCACTTTCCATCGTAGTGGCACAACCCATTACAGCGCTTCGTCCTGTACACCACCTGCAAATGGAACAGACAGCATCATGGGTGAGTGGAAGAACGTTCTGTTGTTAATGGATGCAGTACCTCTTTTTGTTTCTCTCCTAACTCTTTTCTGCAAAAGGAGGGGTCAGATTTCACTGGACACTGTAGGTGAAAACTTTCCAGATTTTTATAAAAGCTCCGAATGAAACAGTTTGTCTTCTGGAAGCCCTCGCTGCACTGATGCCTATAGGAAGCTCAAGTCAACTTCAGTGTGGAACTGATGGCAAAATTCAACAGGGCATTCATACATGATTTAACTCTCTTATGCCTCACCTATTGCACTCCACAAATAGGCTCAGTTATTGGTTTAGCACCAAACGGAGGAACCAGAAGCAAGCAGCAACACTCATTTTTACAAGGTTTGCATAAGAGAATCCACTGACTTGTCTCCATCCAGAAACAAGAATTTCTACCTATATGAAGGTCCACTTTAGGAAATGCTAAATCACCCTTGCATAAGCAATATATTCCATTTGTACAGTGGGGTTGGTGGAATCCACTGCTGGAAGAAAATCAGCAGCCAGAAAAGAATCAGCAAAGGCATATGTCCCTCAGAATTTCAGCTGTGCCCAGTTACTTGGCTCAGTCCTTTTCTTTGCTCAGGAAGGGTGTTTGCCTTATTAATTTCTCATCTGGTTGCTGCTCCAGAATTACCTGCAGAATTAGAGTTTTGTCTGACAGAGGAGGAATACAGGTACAAGCCAGGAATATCAGTTGGTGATATCCTAAAGAGAACTGTGGAAACAGCAGTTGCAAACAAATTTTCTGGGTGGACAATGTGAGAATATTAACTTAAGTGATGCTTAAGTCTGAGCAAAGTATTGCCCATGTGTTTTCAAAGGTTCAGAGCTATGTGGCATTTAGGCAGCCACTTACCAGGAGAGATTTAATGCAGCATATGCTAAAGATTACTCCAAAATATCTTCCTCATTCATGTATTAATCCTGCTTTCTACCCTCACTTTAAATGACATGTTTGAATGACATGGTGCATGGCAGTATGTGGCTTTTTTAGTGGAAACATTATGTGTGCTTTCCCTTGAGGCCTTGGTTTTACTGTGATTTTATTATTAGAACAGTCACATAATACTGCACTTAATTTTTTTACAAGCGTGTTAAGCTTCCAGTGCAGTGGGGTGATAAACTGTCGTATGGCATAGAAGGGACATGAATTTTTATCCTGCTGTGTCAGTACATCTTATCTTGGGAAGAGTAAAAATATCAAATTGACCCAAGTTTTCTCTCTCTTTCCTGAATCTAGCCAGTGCTTGTATTCAGCTCTGAGGCCTATTGAGATGCTGGAGCTTTGGATTCTTGTCCTCTGGTGCCCAGTTAGTGTTATATTAACACTTTATTCAGCTCTAAGCTGCTGTGTCCATCATTAGTCAGCAGTCCACATGACTGTGATGCTTCTTGTCCAGGGCCCATTTTTTTTAGCAAGCTTCATGAGTCCATTCTGGAAAACGCCTGGCTTATACCCAGTGCCTACTTACTAAAGGGAGTGATGCTTTCTCCCTCTGAACCCAAGCACCCAGAGTGCCTCAGGTAAAGCCCTAAATAACTTTAAGTAGAATTCTTCTTATCATTCATTTTATTTCTCTTACCGCCCAATAGCGGAAGCTCCCAGGACAGTTCACAAATACACCAGATTTCTGTCCCACCTTTCTTCCTGCAAGGAACCCAAGCTTACATGAGCCACCTAGACTGGGCAGAGCGTCAGTGACTGGCCCAAGGGGAGCGCCATGGCCATGCAGGGACTAGCACCCCAATCTCTCAAGTCCCAGCCCAACAACCTGACCTCTGCACCACACTGGTTTGAAATGAATCAGTGTTAGACAAAGCCGCAATAAAACTTGCAACTGTTAAAGCTAAAAAAGCAGAGATTAAATAAATCACAATAAATGAATGCAGCCAGAAAAGCGATGAGATATTGATGGAGCACTGACAAAGTGACCTCACCTGCAACAGGGAGTCCATTTCTTAGGTGCCTCAACAGAAAAAGCCGCATCCTGCACCCTTCTTGGCTCACCAAATAAAACACCTCACACTATTACCTTGGAGATAACCCTGGCGGTGAGTGCAGGAGATGCTTCTTTGGTATTATCTGAGGATTAAACACACTACTCACCCAGTACAGTCTCATCCCCATGGGAAATAGTTGTGTTTCGAGAATGTGAGATCTTCCCTTCCCAAAATGCAATCACATCATTAGGACATCCTTGCTAAACAATTCTTAGCGATCCTCCCACATCCCACATGTTCAGGATTGCATTAGCCAGTTCTTATAACGGGTTTCAACTGTTATAACCTATTTCCTGCGGAACACCAAGATTACATGGAGTTAATCCCGATATCAATTTGTTCCTTAGAAAGATGGTTGTATAGTGTTTTTTCTGTGCAGCATCTGACTTGGTTGGCTTACTCACAGTCGTGATTAGGGGCCACTAGTGTGAGACTGAATCATGCAGCCAGAACCTGGGCAAATACATTAACAGCTATTTAGTGCTCAATCTTATGCAACTTTAGACCAAAACAAAAGACCTGCACCTCCCAGCATACCCCAGCACGCATGGTTTGCTGCTGGGATATACCACCAGTTGCAGACCTTGTTTTGTTTAAACTTGCAGGGGATTGTGTCTTCGTTGTAAATGATAACAAAGCATAGTGTTATTAAATGTGGGGTATCATGCTTGTCGGTCCTCCTGGCATTATTGTGCTGATTATTTGGAAGACTGGAAGGTAGGAGGAATCATAGAACAGTAGAGTTGGAAGGGGCCAAGAAGGCCATCAGGTCCAACCCCCTGCTGTTGCAGGACACAAATTTGCACCATCCCACTCAGATGACTGTCCAGTTTCATGTTGAAAGTCTCTAGCGTGGGAGAGCCCAAAACCTCTCCAGGCAGCTGGGTCCACTGTCGTATTGCTCTGGCAGTGAGGAAGCTTTTCCTGATTTCCTGCCTGAATCTGGGTTGTCGCAGCTTGAGCTAGTTATTCCGTGTCCTGCACTCTGGCATCAACAAGAAGTCATCTTGGCCTTCCTCTTTGTGACACCCTTTCAGGTACTTATAGAGGGATATCATGTTCCCCCTCAGTCTTCTCTTCTCAAGGCTGAACAGGCCCAGTTCTCTCAGTCTCTCCTCATAGAGCAATGTTTCCAAACCCTAGATCATTTTTGTTGCCTTCGTCTGAACCCTTTCTACTAGAGGTTACCACTGCACAAGCAATTGTGTAGGATGCTTTTCTTATACCCATTCAAGGGGGGAACCTATAACATTCCTAAAGGAAGCAAATTTATTTGCTTGAGCCATTTGGGACTTTCTTTCATCTTGACATGGTTAATCCTGTTTAATCCTGTTTACTTCTTTCCACTGCTGGTGGTCAGTGATGTCGGCTTTCCAAAAGACTTTTAATAAGAAATTTCCTGGAATACCCCTCACCCCGCACACTACAGACACACCCCTAAAGCAATTGAGATATAACTTAGAATTCCTCTCTGACTTACATTAGGCAAAAAAAGCAAAACCAAAGTAATAATGAGTGAAAGTACCCAGCCCAGCAATTTTTGTTATGTTGGGGTAAAAAAGTTTTTTTATTGTTTGGAGGGATGGATAAAATTGAAATATTTTTTCAGGGTTGATATGGTATACAGACAGACAGGCACGGAATTACAGAGGGTTGTAGACTTTCTGTTATGAGAACAGAAGAACCTTTGGTCAAGCACACTGGTGGCTGCTCCTCTTTGCCAGTGATATCCAAGCCATGCAGCTGGGCTGCGCTGCTATTGCTTGAACTGGCAACAGATGATTTCATTTCCATATAAGAATCACTGAAACCCTCTGCTACCTCACTGCCATCATGGCAAATGTCGTACACATACCTTTCCCTGGAAAATTCTTGGACATTTCCTTATCCATTGGACATCCCAGAAAATTGCCTGGCTCAGCCATAACGGAAAAAAAATGAACTAAATTGTGGAATTGAGGGAAAAATTCAATAAGGGGTCTTTAGACTGCAAATCCTACCTGTGGGCAGCGGACTTTCAACAACAGAGGCTCTGAATATCCAACGGAGGCTCTGAATATCCAATGACCTGCTGGACTTGTGCCAGTGGGGTGAAGGTGAGGGAGCAGCAGCATTTCTGGTTTAGCTCTCCCATGTCTGGCCAGCTGCAACCCTATAATTGCCTCCCATTGTTTTCAATAGGAGGGATATTGTTTTTAAAGGCCAAGGAGATAAGAGAATGCTATACACCTCCTCCGTCACATTCAAGGGCTGGCATGGATCTGCTGATGGTTCGGGGCATCACTGCAGCCTGGCAGAGCTATGGATCCTTCCCTACAGTTCTACAGGTTTTCTAACACAGTCCCTGTTACTCCTTTCCAGTATTGTCCTGGCATCTGAGAAGAACCACACTCAGACATTTGTCAGGAAACAGGCTCTGAGGTCTGGTCTCTCCTTCTGACCTCAGGTCCCTTCCTGTAAGGGTGGAGAGAGACAGAGATGCCATCTCCTTGCAGAGATAGTCACCTGGGGAAAAAACAGTTCTACTAGTCTTGTATCCATTCTGGTTGTCCCATTTGTGTCCTTATGAAAAAAAACACTTTTCTAAAAATGAATGTTTTTCCACAGAATGATACAGTAGGGAAACCGTTTTTACCTTAGAACACAGCTTGTGGAGAGTGAGGGTGTCAGTAGTGAAGGCATTTTCCTAGTCTCTCTCTCTCTCTCTCTCTCTCTCTCATTCGTTCTGCAAGATGCTAGGTTTTGCATCTCTTCTGGGACCAGCTGCAAACTGATTGCATTGGGACTCCTTGAATTCAAGGACTGTATTCATTTCAGAGTGACAAAATGTATTGGGAAATACATCTTCCTGAGAGTTTCTGGTAATATGAGAGCTGGACCTGTGGAATAGCCCTACTTTAATTGTGGAAGGCCAAAGGTGTCATCTATCTTTCCTACACAAATCAGTCTACTGTCAGTCTCATCCTGGCCACGGAAAGGCTAAAACTAAGCAGGAAATGATCTGACCATTGTTGTTATTGTTGTCAAATCATCTCTGACTTATGGCAGCCCTATGTAGAAAACCCCTCCAAAATGTCCTATCCATGACAACCCCGCCCAACTCTTATAAATTCAAGGCTGTGGTTTCCTTTATGTCAATCTGTCTCTTATATGAATTCCCGCTGCCTCCTCCTCCTCCTCCTCCTCCTCCAACTTTCCCTAGCATGATTGCCTTCTCCAGGAAGCCTTACTTCTTCCTGATGTGTCCAAAGTACAACAGCCTCAGTTTCATCATTTTCATTTCCAGTACAAGTTCTAGTTTGATTTGATCTAGGACCCACTTGTTTGTCTTTCTGTCACTCCAGGGTATTTCCAAAACTCCCCTCCAGCACCATGTTTTAAATGCATCAGTGACTATGCAAATGAGAAAAACAACTCCAGAGTTTCCTAACACATCTGTTGAGCTGAGGACAGCTTTGTGGCTGTTACGATGCCTGTGATGTCCCAAACTTCCCCAGAACCGATGGTCTTAGCATTAGGTCTCTGAGGACAATCGTCTTGGGAGTCCTAAGCAACAAATCTGAGATCATCCCCTGCAGGAAGGAAGAGTGATGGGCCCAAAACTGTCCCAGGTCCCCAAACACAAATGCTCAAGATTGGTACTTAAAGCAGATAAGTCTAGGAACTGTTCCATTTTAAAGTCCACTTGGTAATTCCACCTAAGTCAAAAAGTGACAAAAGAAGCCTGTGAGAGTAATAATTTCTTTTGCCAAGTCTTTCACTACATTTTCAGGTTTTTCTCTTATATACATGCATGTGTGTAATTTAATCACAATGTTATTTACAGGTTATCCATTTACACATTTCACTAATGTGACAGGCTGCCTAGATTGCTTGGTTCTGACCTTAATTGAAGAAGATTTTGTCCCCAATTCAGCCTGGAGGTCATCAGAATTTGTTTAGCCCACTGTGGTGGATGAGGGGTTAGAGTTTTTGGAATGACTGCTGTTAACAGTCTGGATCTGGGGTTGTCTTCCTGATATGATGGAAGATATAGTGGAGTCAGTATCAGATCTGGAGCCCTCTGCCTCTCCTATGCTTGCCAGCAAGAGTCAGACAGGCTGAGTAAAGAACAGAGGCTGTTTCACCTTAGTTAAAAAAAAACATTACAGGTTGGTAGCCCTTTAAGCTCACCCATCTGGCTTACCTTTCAGTGGTTTAGGAGGGAATGGAACAGCCAGAAGAAACTTCATAATGCAGCTTCTTCTATCCCTTCCATCCCCACCAGCTTGCTTCATCTTCTGCCTTTCTGATTTCTCTTATGAGGTCACTGTTATAGCAAGAAGCTTATAAGAGTGGGACTCAGGCGGAAAGTTCCACAATTGGATCTCCCACACGCGCATAACTGTCTCTAGGGGCCACAGAATTGCTCTGTTAGACCCCCATATAGGATTTGGTTGGTTTTGTTCTCCCATGCAGATGTACCGGAGACTGCACTAAAGCTAAAACCACTTGTCTGCTCATTTGAAGGGGAGCATTGGTGATTTGAACCTGAAGTTATCAGTTCTCTCTCCATAGAATACGAGAGGTGCAACATGCATAAGGAATGCTGGTGGCTGAGGTTATGTTTGAGATTCACCTTAGCGAGCAAAATTAACACCAATTAAAGATACATGTAAAACAATTAGCATCAACATGTAATTGAATTGTGGATACATGAACCCTAGAATAGAAAACAATTATTTTCCTGCCTTTCTTTATGTTCATTCTTTTGTTTTTCAGCAAACAGAGGAAGTGGAGCAGGAGGAAGTTCACAGACAGGCGATGCACTGGGGAAAGCACTTGCATCTGTAAGGAAATATTTGCTTTGGGATCGCTTGTGTAAGATGAACTTGAGTCAGAACAAGTTACCAAACATTTGGGGGCCTGAGCACCAAGCAGGATCGATTTCATTGCTTGCAATTAAAATAATTTCACATAAAAGTAGTGTATACAAAGCTTTCTGGAAAGCAGATATTTAGGAGTGATTGTTGATTCCATCCACTTGAAAATCTGAATTTTATAGGATACCGCTTGCTAGTAGAATTAGTTCTAGTTCTAGCAGTTCACGGTCATTGCTTCTGTAGTGACACTGGAGAACTAGCATGGGTTCCCAGATGCCTGCATCTGTGCAGACCTATGGTACATCTTCACTATAAGGATTAACCATTTTAAGTCAGTTTCAGTTCTATGTTTTATCTAAGAAACCCTGGGAATTTTCATTCTTGTAAGTCTCCTGAACATTCTGCTTGAAATTTCTATATCACATCACAGAATTCATTCCCAGAGTTACTTTGGGAGTAGCCATGGCAGTGAACCCATTTAAGTTTGTGGAGTGGACATTCCCTTGGAAGTTGGAACTATAAGTACTTGGATTTATCCAAGAGAATGGATAAGCCATGGCCAGAGTTGTCCCAACACAAATCCTCTCACAAAAACAAGTGCAGCTGTGACTTTCAAATGTAATTTGAGCAGTGAGACAGAGAAAGAATTCATTGAGAAGGGATTTGGCTTTCAGTTTTGTGTTTTCCTTTCTAGCCTCAGGGGCTTTTAAAGGTTGCCCTCACTGTGCAGGAGCGGCTTCTCTGCAAGCCGTTCCTGCATTGCAGGATACATTTTTAATGACGTGTACTCACAGGCAAGGGCCAATCGTGTGAGTCTCCCATAGTACTGGCAGTACCTGCAATTCTGCGGTTAGGAACTGCACCATCAGCCCTCGATCATGTGATGGAGTAATTTCAAGGTTTTGCTCTCTGCTGCTCTTAGGAGAACGGTTCCTGCACAGCCATGGTAATCTTTGAAAGGCCCTTGCATCTGTTTCTTTACAACGGTTGATATTTAAAAGTCAGTGTTAACCTCCAGCTTGCCTATCACCAATTTTATTTGTTCATTTTTCCTATCTCAGGTCTGGAGAACAATTCTTTATTTAAAATATTGCTGTAAAACATGGATGTATGCTGACTTTTAAAAGAATGATCACTGTAATTTATTTTCTGGGCAGAGTGGGTTCCGCTGAGTTCTCATGAGAATTGACATTTTCCATGTCCAGATAACATATGTTATGACAAAAACCTGCACAATTCCCAAATAATGACTACAGTACAAAATCTACTTTAACTGATGCCCTGAAGCATTGATTAACAGGGGAGATGATCAGGGGGTTAATTAGATTGCCTATTCAAGACCCAAAGGAAGTGTTTGAATTTTAAGCTTAACAGTTGTTAGTACGGGTTCCCAGCATGCTGCCCATTACTGGATCATTATTTGATGCGATAAGAGTCAGTGATCTCTATGATGTCTAATCATGTCCTAGGTGATAAGAGAATTTCACCTGTTCAGATTATTAAGTACCGTCATGTGGGTCTCACCTGAATAATGTCATATAAGAACTCAGCCTAAGCAGGTATAGCCGGTACCAAAATCTGCACGTGTATCAGGATGTCCATTCTCATTACAAGTTTCATATTCTTTACAGTTTGCTATAACAAGCATTGCCCCATCCCTAAATCTTTACTCTGTTACAGTTATTTTAAAAGTTTAGCTTAAAATAAAATAGTTCTCTGAAACCTATTTTTATATTTGTATGTAAACCATCATGTAAAATACATTTCCATCATAGCGCAAATTATAAAGGTTATTAGATTATTATTATAAATAAGGTAGAAAAAATATTACAGTAAGAACTGTCCTCCATCACAACTGTCTGTTTCTTCAAAATGTATTTGTCATGCTGTTCTGACTTTTCATAGCATATTTTTTGTCTCATGAGGTAATGATAAGGAAGAGAGAGAGATTTGCCTTCCCTAATTAATAGAAGCACCATGCCTCTGTCTGCATCCACTCATGAATGGTGTTAGATTAATTCTTTATCATCTTTTAAAGATCTATTCTCCAGATCACACCAACAACAGCTTTTCATCAAATCCTTCAACTCCTGTTGGTTCTCCCCCTTCTCTCTCAGGTATTGTGGTTACAATTATATTTTATTGAACATTTCAATTTTATAATATAGTAGGAGAGTCTTAAATATACTCCTACTATGTGAGGTTAGGAAAGCTAAATTAATCTGGCAACAGGATCAGACTGTCACCTTATTAATATTTGGGGGAGGGCCATAGATCAATGGAAGAGCACAAGCTTTGCATGCAGAAGGTTCCGGAAGGGGAGAAATTCTGCCTGAGCCCCGCTGAGCCGCTGCCAGAAAGCATTGCCAATACTGAGCGAGATGGGCCAGTGGTCTGGCGTGCCATAAGAAAGCTTCCTGAATATGCTCTGAATATCCTACGAGGCTGGATTTGTACACTCAGATTTGGATAGAAATTCACCCGAAGCCACTTTAACAGGATATAATGTGAATCCTGGTTTTCTAACATCCTTCACAAACTCTGCAAGCCTCCTTCGGATCCCTTTATTACACAGCCCACCCCCCAGAAATGGAGGACCTTCACATGATCACTGTGATTAGCTCTAGCAAAACAGGAGCCGCCTCTTGCTTAAAGTGGCCTCTGCGTCTGTGAAATGCTCAAATAAAAGGGGGGAATGTCTGCTACCAGATGTAGCATCCAAGAGTGCTGAATCTCACAAGCCTGCACAACTAAGTTTTGAATCCTGCTGCATTCTAGCCAGCTTAGTTGATCAGCCAGTTCCTCTTCCAACTTCCTTTGCCCCCAGAGTAGAGCCAGGTGGTCTCTAGTATGCTCAGCCCTTCTATACATTTCCAAGGAAAGAGTGAGTGGTGCAGTAAAGAACCTTGGTGATGAAAAAGCATCCTGATTATCAAACATCCCAGGTCATATGTTTTGGAGTGCATGTGTTTATCTGAATGTTGTTAAACGAGCTATGTCAGGTGTAAGGGAGAGCTTAACTAAATGTGTGAAACGGGAGATGTCAAGTAATGGTCATGTGAAGGTTACAAGCCACACAGAGAGCAATAGTTTCCCTTCCCGTTCTCACCTTTGCAATCCTGCCTCACATCCACAAAATCTGTTCTGGTATTTCTCCAACCCTACAGAGCAGACTGTGTGTATATGGGGCAGAGGGCGGCCATTATGGGAGACTGCAGTTGAGAGGGAGAATTCTTGGGTATTATCCAGTTTTCACTGGACTTACCAGTTTTCAGAAACTTATCCCATACATGTGGACCTGAGGCTGTACCAGGTAGTGTATGAAAGCCATTGGGTTCAGTCCAGACTTAGTTATATACAGATTACATCTACTGAAATCATGGGATAACTTAATAATTGCTAATTTAAGTCCCATGGATGCCAGGGGGTCTATACTGTGCAGAACTAAGTCCGATTCCCAGCCAATATCCCTTCATTTCAGAGAAAACCAAATGAACAAGTGAAATGCGGTGTTTACTTGCAATGCAAGAACCACTTTTCCATTATTCACTTCTTGTGAGGCCAGTCACATTGCTCTGCAAAGGCAATATGACAGCACTGACAAGTCATGGACACATGATTCAGAAGATCTTGGTTCCTCAGTTCTAGATTATAGATAGTCTGCAGATGTCTCAAGTAAGAGTTTAGGGCAGTGGCATTGAGCAGTATGCGGCTCTCCAGATATTGTTGGAATGCATCTTCTATCAGTCATGGGCATGAGTGGCCCTTCCAATGAAGAGGGGAGATGGATATTGCAAGCCAATCACATCTGAAGGGCACCATAGTCATAATGGTTCGTATGCTGCCTCTCCACTCTTGAACAAGCCACCAAAACACAACATTCTGCAAATCCAGCAAATGCTTAGAGGAAGAATACAATCAATCCCTGTCATGTCAGTGTAAGGAATTACACATAAAGTTGAAGGCAGAGCTAGAATATATAAAGCATTTAAATTTCATCCAGTAAATCATTTGGCAGATGACTGATGAATGGATGAATTGAAAAATATCACAATCAAGAGAATTTAGCAGCCTGAATAAAATTAATGATCAGGCATGTCCCAAAGCCTTAGTAGGTTGAGCCATTAATATATCTAGTAGCAATCATAATATATCCAGCAGCAAATTAAAAAACAAGAGCTAAAAATAAAATCTTGATTTTGGTAAAAGTTGACCATCTCTCTCTTAAGAATGTCAAATTGTGATTAATATTTCAGAAAGACAAAGATCTAGAAATATCTTGTGGATGTTTGAAAAAATAAACCTTAATTTGGACTTCAGAAACATGGCAAGATAGATAGCCTAGAAAACAAGATGCTGTTCTACTATTATGCAGAATTGGAGGACCAGTTGTGTCATCCAGGAGGGAAGTGACATTGCAAATATCCAGGTTATTATACTTCATGAGCACATTCTGCAAGCAGAGACTTCCCAAAACAACATTTGATTTGTGCCTTCATTAGAAAACTAATGCATTCACTGTTGACCCTTTTGCATTTCACCCTTTTAAGAGCAGTAAAAGGAGGAAGAGGGTTGACTGACTAAATAGAATTTAAACCAAAAGAAACCTTTTCCATACTGGTAAAAGCCACTGGTTTCAAGTACAAGTATTAAAACACAAACAGGCACAATCCACTAGGAACCTTTCCTTCAGCTGATTGAATTGAAATAAATGGAATGTATGGATCATCAGGATTTATTTTATTCGTTCTTTACAAAGTAATGTTTCATTTTAAAAAACCTGCAGGGTTTGATGATTTGTAATAGCATTAATGAACACTAACACTGTCTTCTGCTCTGGTTAGAAGTCGGCATAGTATAGCAGTTCCCATAGTACTTCTTAAAAGACTGGTGCCTGCTTCCCATGGTAACCCCTCTCTTTCTGATGCGGCTTTAGTAGGCACTGCTCCCAAATCAATGGAAACTTGTTCATTAGCAAGTAGCATGGGGGAACTTGGTGGCTGTGGACAATAGGTGTTATTGCAAAGGTTTTTTTTTTTCCTTAATACACGTATGTTCTGAAAGATCTCCACAAGTCTGTTCTGTATGTCAGATGTCTGCAGTGCTATCCAGAATGTTTGAAAAGGCATTTTGTTTGCATAGTTCCAATAGTAACTCCCATTTTACTATTAGCAGGCACAGCTGTTTGGTCTAGAAATGGAGGGCAAGCGTCATCATCTCCCAATTATGAAGGTCCCTTACACTCTTTGGTATGTTTTTGACTGGTGACCTCCTTGGTGTTAGTATTTTATTGCTGTCTGCTTCTTCCTTTCCTCAACCCCTCTTCTAACACAGGTTTTCCTTTGCTGCTCATTGCAACATCCTTGGATTTTGACATTCTTTCCTACTGTTTCCAAACTTGATAGAAGCAGGGGTCCACCCATAAATCATGAAATATCTTACCATGTTCGTAATCTATGCTCAAGTAACTAATAGTAAATGCAGAATTAGATGTAGAAGATGGGGCGGAATACTGAAAACAGAGGTGAACATCAGAAAAGAAAAAAATGCCAAGAAGATAAAGAGCAGGCTGACATTATGTAAAACAAACCTTACTCTGTGTTAAGGTTATGCTTGTATAAGAAAGTGAAATCCATGGATGTTCGAATTGGAAAATTTCAAGAGAGAATGATAAAAAAGGGCTTTATTTAAATGGTAGAAATGAGAAGAGTAGTTAGCCAAAAGCATATTATGCATAAATAAACAAGAAATCTTCATGAGTTTTTATAATTGGACCACCTCGTAAGTATACTTTCAGCACTCCATCACTGACTGTAAAAATATAAATAAGTAAATATATCCTCAGCTGAAGAAACAGAGGCTGTGTGAGGACTTCCTGCATCAGAATTTTGCTTCACTCAGGAATGGTTTGGATCACAACACATGGCCCTTAAAAAATACAATGCCACTGTCATGAGGAATTTCTGAGACTATTAGCAAGTGTGTTGCTGTGATCATCTTTAGAATCAGTAGTTCCACAGTACATCTGACTCAAGGTAAATCAACATAAACCACTTTCTGCCAGCCAGTGATTTTGCACGTCTGTTTGAGAAGAAGATGCCCTGAGAAACATCTACTCATGCCCATTGAGCCTACATAACTTCAGCTTTCAGAACATGTGATGGTAACCAACATGTTTAACTCAACACAAGCAGCAGTGGTATAAATTCTAGATCCCAGAATCCTCCAACTCCCCCTCACACACTTAGTGATGGTAGCTTGAAATTGGCTTTATCCCCATATAGTTTCTGGAAAATTTATAATGGGGATCCCAGGCACCATGGCACCAGTGGCCACCTCCTGTGGCATCTGTCAAGGGTTTGACAATGTGGCACCCACAGGCACCTACAAACTTACTTTAAAAATTAATATCCATAGCAGATATGTATGAAGTACATACTATTTTCTAGCAGTTATACACAAGGTTCAACAGAAGTGGGCCAAACACCCAAATAAGCATCCATTTGAAGGTCACATCTGTGTTCCACCCATTCACATATTGATAATTGTCCTCAATCCATTGCACGACAGGTCTTCAATATATTGCATTAGAGGAAGCAAGTTGTAATATCAGCCTTTAGTTATCAAAAGGGTGAGGAGAATCTGTTTATTTTGACCATTTGTTAAGTTTCACAAATCAGGTGAATAATTTAAGAGTGACTACAACAGTGATGAATATTAAAGATTGTTCCAGTACAAGATTTACCTGTGTGATAACTTCCTCCCAAAAAGAAGCATTGCCAAAACATAAGTTTAAAAATGGTACAGTGGGACCTTGGCTCACGAACTTAATCCGTTCCAGGACTCTGGTCGTGACCCAGATTGGTCGTGAGTCAAATCCGATTTCCCCATAAGGTTCAGTGTAAATAAGGTTAATCCGTTCTGTAACCATTTTTTAAATCAGAAAAATGTGAAGCAAAGGGACAACAACAAAGATCGCGGCCTTCTTCCCACCGCCCCCAGCATGACCAAGGTCGCGCCTGTCATCCCTGCAGGTGCCCGTCATCCCGGCATGCTGGGGCGGTTGGGGGGGGGACGGGCGTGATCACGGGCGCACTAGGGGAGGAAGAGATGGGCGCAAATGGTGCGCTGGGGGAGGGAGAGATGGGCGCAATCTCGGCCATCTCCCCCCCCCGCCCCCAGCACGATCGTGGCCATCTCAGGGGTGGGGTGGGAAGCTGGGTGCAATCATGGTGGTTGGGGGGCGGGATGGCCGAGAGTGCGCCCGTCTTTCCTGCAGGAGTGTGCCTCTGATCACACACGCCTTCCCTGCACAAAAGCAACTGCGATCGTGGCCATCTGTCCACTGGGGCGGGGGGGGGGGGAAGACAGCTGCGATCTTGGTCACCACCCAGTGCAGAGTTTGCGACCCACATCAAAATTTTCATGAAATTTTTGTGTGTGACCATTTGTTCGTGAACCAAGGCGTTCATGCGCCGAGGTACCACTGTATTAGCTGTATTACACCCCCAGCTAATATTATTCAGTATTAGTTGAATATTGTAAATGAACTTGAGAGAGGGGAAAGGATGTGCTGTTCCCATTGAGGTGGGGCATCAGAAAACCCCATTAGGCTCAAACAGGTTCAGAGAGCATTGGCTATGCGCAGTATAGAAACATGATTAATAATAATGAAGATAATGGTAATAAAGCTGTGCATGAAATAGTTTGTGCTAAATCAGCCTTCCCCAGCTGGTACTCCCAGATATTTTGTGCCACGACTCCCAGCATTTCAGATGATTAGCCATGCTGGCTGCTGGGGCTGATGGGAGTTAATGTCCAAACTATCTGATACAGTTTCCCTCTGGCTGCAGTAATATAGTTTACTTCAGAAGCATTCTTGGGAACTGTAGAACAAAGATTCCTTGGTGGAATGTAGACTGACGAATACATAGCTGTACTTCATTTGTCAATTTAAGTAACTCCTTTTTTCTTTCTTTTCCTTTTCTTCTCTTTCTTTCTTTTTAATGAAGTAGCCCATTGAAGCGGACATTAAATTTCTTCAGAATCAATGCCACTACCCTTACTGGGTTTAAACAGTGAGAAAACGCAGTGGTAGCGAGGGAGGCTTCTCAAAAGCACATGAGGGGATTTGTTTGTGTTGCAGACAAGGCTGAATTACACAGTTTATCACATGAGTTTGTTTGTTTTGTGTGTTTGTGTGAGTGTGTGTGTTACTCTAATACTGGCTGCATAATTCGTAGACTTGTTTATGTGAAGTAAACCTGTTTAACTTGTGCTAATGTTCTGAAAGCTATTTGGGTACATGTACTATGGGGAAGAAGGCAAAACTGTGGACATGAATAGCTGCCTCAGATTTCTTTTGATTCTAAAGGAATAATATACTCTAACAAAGCCTGCAATAGGTCACAGCACACAACCCACTAACTTTCACTTGACTTGAATAGGTCTATCAGGAATAAAAGTTCTGGATTGCAGTTCAGTGTCTTTAAATAGTTTAAAATGTCAGAGCCATTTGATATTTCAAAGCGATGGAACATGTTTCAAAATCAGAGAGCAACATATGTACTGTAGAGGTTATGTTCATGAGGAATCAATGAACCTGTTTTGCCCATGAAAATGAAAGCTGTTTTTTTTGTGAACAGAACTTTCCTATTTTCTTAAAATGCTAGTTCGAGTCTCATTGTTTCATATAAGATGTTACAATTTGCTGTGAGGTGACAAAAGAAAACAAAAACCAGAGTGGTGTCCGTAACATAAATATAGATGCAGAAGCAGTCCCCCCCACCCCCGGAAGTAAACTTCTTCCCCTTCCCCTGTATGGCGCATAGCAAATATAGGTGCTAAATGTACAATTCATAACGTTGACTAGCTTTGTCTCAGACGTTAAAGGGCACTTCATATTTGCTGATGCTTCTCTTGATTTGTTTTTCACAAACAGCAAAGCCGGATTGAGGACCGCTTGGAAAGACTGGATGATGCTATTCATGTTCTCCGGAACCATGCAGTGGGGCCTTCAACTGCTATGCCCAGTAGTCATAGCGACATGCATGGCTTAATAGGGCCCTCTCACAATGGAGCAATGGGAGGTCTTGGATCAGGATATGGGACCGGTCTTCTCTCGGCCAATAGACATTCGCTAATGGTAAGCTGTAAAGATTAAATGCTACACTGTTAGACTTTTACATGGAGCAGTTTGGATTGTTGGGCTGTGTATCCAGGCTTTTAGTGGGGAGTAAATGATTCACTCAAAAAATACGTGGTATCTAAAGCAGTTTGGGTTAATATAGCTAGGGACATATGTTTAGACAGAAAAAGGCCTACAGTTCCCAGCATCCCCCAGCCACTGGGAATTGTAGGCCTTTTTTCTGTCTAAACTTACATAACATTCCACTTGTAGTACAAGATGTTGCTTTTAAAACATTTACTCAGACACTTATTATCCCTTCTCTGTATATGTTAAGAAGGCATATATTGCTTTTATATTGTATATATTTATTTCTGTGTGAAAACAGTGCTTTCCAAATGGTTTCTGGTCATGCTTATGATCTCTGATTGGCAAGAGGCTGCTATTCTGTTGCATCAATGTTTGCAAAAAGTCTATTTTCACAGTGATATTTTTGGCTAAAGTATATTTTTCCTATGGACAGTAAGAACTTAGGATGGGAAAACTGCAACTTAATCACAATGGAGGTATTTCTAAAAGCAATATTGTTTTAGTAGAAGCCCAGACTTTTGTACTGAGTTGGTGGGTTTTCCTGAAGCCTCTGCTTGCTATGGCTACCAGGACACTGGGGTGCAGCCTGGATAACTCGGTGCTGCTGATTACAGATGCTGTTAAAAACAGTAATTGCATTGGGAAGGGGGTTGGTCCATGCCCCTTCCTTCCTTCTAGACCAGATCAAGAACAGGAACTGACCTTCAGTCTTCCGGATCTCTGGCAGGATCAGAATTCAGTCCTGCTCTCTCTTCTCTTCTGAGTGCTATTGCCACTTCCTTCTACTGAAAGTTAGACGTACATCTGTGCAGACATAAGGAGTCAATGGCACTATGGTTGAGCTTTAGATAAAATCTTCTTCCTTATTTGCCGAGCAGTAGTCTTTGGAAGGAAAGACCATGGATTGTGCTTATCTACAGTTCCAGGAACTGTATAGCCAAAGATTTTAAATCAGCCAAGCTGCTGGTTCCATGGGCAACCCTTTTCCACAAGCATGGATGTTTGAAACATCAGCCCAGCTACAAGGCATACCAGGAACTACTCACACAAAATCAGTTTCTGTGTGGCTAGGCTACCATTCAAAAAGTTCCACAGCACCTATGCGGTGTGGAGCATACATTTGTTATAAGCAAGCATCCAAAATACACTCTCCCCTCTTCTTTCTATCTTTACTCAGTTTCTTAAGACAAAATTTTCTATCTTTACTCAGTTTCTTAAGACAAAATTAACTTCTTTGGATTAGAAAGAAAGGAGAATAATCTCCATGCTGCATTTTTTTTACTTTGTCAAATCAACTAGAATACTTTACTCCTTTATATTATTGTGACTCAAACCCATGATAGGCCTTCTTAAAACAGAAAGTCTTTGAAGCAATCTTAAAACATGGTAACAAGAATATGAAGCAGCATCCATTTTACCTCTTCCAGTCTGGATTTCTTAAATATTCTTTCAGACAGTATGACTATCTGTTTTCAATACTATATTTTGTGGAATTTTCAGATAGAAATACTCTGTAACAGATTTTATTCTGTTCAGGTACAGCATGCATTTCAAATAATACTAATAAGCACTTTCTTCAAAGTAAGAGCAATCCAGAATGCATCCAATCCAGAAGGGGGGAGCAGATTATGGAAATCTGTTGTACTTTCAGTTCCCTTTAGGATTCTTCACACATCGCTAACCATAATGATAGGAAAAGCAACTTAACTTTCTCAAGCCAGGAATCACTTCCCACTTAACAAATTCCTGCCTTAGACTCACATTCTGTGTTTGCTTACATTGATAATAATTTCTTAAGTTGTAGATTTCTGTGTCATCTTTGCACTGTATTATTTGAAATAATCAGGTTGAATGTATGGAACCTTGGCCTAAATAATCACAAGAAATTAGAAATGATAATAGATATTAACTTAATGATGGTGGCAGTCAATCAGTATAAAAACGTTTAAGGAGATGGGACTAAACTAGTTGCAACCATTTTCTCTTTACAGTATGGACATTTCACAAAGATGGTGCCAAACATTCTAGTGTTTGTCAAGACAAGTTCTGGTTTATCGCTTACCCAATTGACCATTACAGCATACAACAATTAGTTCACCAACTGTGAATGGCAGCCAAACAAACTCCAGTATACCTGGTGATTCCAACTGTAATTGAAATCAGATATAAAATTGCAGTGCAATTACTGACAAAAACAAAACCGGCAGTCATACACTTATCAAAGCTCTCCTTATGATTAAATTGTTACGTTTACAGTAAAAAAGCCAAAATGTCATTAATAGGCTTTCCCATGTCCAAATCCAAGGGAAGAAGCGTGGTATGACTCAAGGAATAAAGGAGTGAAAGTTCCAATAGTCATATTTTGCATCTTTAGATGTATAAATGTTATCCTGGAGGCTTGGCTTCCTCTGGGAGAAAGAATTACAAGCACAGGTTTCTGATGAAAAGTTTCAGATCAGCCCACACTTAGATCTTTGACGTCCAAATTGAGTAATGATGCAATCCTATGTAAATTTAGGTGGGAAAAGGCCTAGAATTCCCAGCATGCACCAGAAAGCTTAGCATGACAGAGTAATTTTCTTCCATATCTCATCAATATCTATTTAGGATTTCATTCATCACACAAGGATACCTTGTGTGATGAATGTTTGAAAATAAATAAATAAATAAATAAATAAATAAATAAGATGGATCTTACATTTTCAATATTTGGCCATACCCACTTCTCAAAACCATAGTACAAGTTGTTTGTAGTCGTGCTGAAGAAAAAACTTTCCTAGCTTTGATAGAGCAAAGACATCAGAGATAGGGTCCGTTAAGGCCCAGAATACTTCACCAGGAGAAAGATTAGAGCCCTTGAAGAGGAATAGATTCAGTCAGTGTTCTGCATCTATTTTTCTGAATAGGATCAGAAAATCCCACCCTCTGCTTACACTTCTCTGCTACAGATCTGCAGGTTTCATATTTTGGATCCACATGTGCTTATTTTCTTAAAGCAATGTAGGTGGCAGTCTTACACACATTTATCTAGAAGTAAGTCATTTTGATCTCAATGGAGGTTACTTCTGAGTAGACATGTCCGTTGATCTGGTATTCATAACATGCTTGACACTATCTGTTCCAGACATTGATCCTCTGGGCACAGGACACTTTGCACTACGGTTGATGGCTAGTGAGACAGCACAATGTAGATCTTACCACTTTGAGATGAAATCTCCAAATGGCCGCTTTACACTCTCTTCTGTTTTTTGACCTGCATTTAGTCATACGGAATTTGCATGTGTTCCATGTCACTTGACATGTGTGCTGAGAGAATCCTAAACAACAAAACAAAACGTGGTCGAAGTGGAAAGCCGGCTGAGTTGATGGTACAGGAGGGACCAGTTTGATCTATCACTCTGGCTAGGTATTCATACACACACACATGCACTGGCTTATGGAGTTGCCATTAGCATTTAGCACAACTGGGAGGGAGATGATGGAAGACACCAGGAGCATCTCTGGAAGGAATTGTAGTGGGAATGCTGCAGCAAATACACTACATTGAGCCTGCCCGGTTATTCCAGCATGCAGTGAGTTTTCCTTTGAAAATGAGGGATTTGGGCCAGGTGTCCTTGCTTTTAGCCCAGGTTTAATGGTCACAAATCAGTATTTCTCCATTTAGCCAGACTCCCAATTCATACCAAGATGAAAGGCACTGAATTTATAGCAGTTATTACCAGTGAGTTTTGTTTGTTATTAAAAATGGGGGGAGAAGGACCATTTACACGCAGGAGCTTACTGAGATCACCTCTTAAAACTAAAGTTAAAAGCAATCGTGTTTTGAACACTACATTATTATAGCCTAGAAGTGGACCACTGGTGTTTATAGATAACGGCATAAACGTTTTCTGGAAGTAAACTGCCCACTAGACTCAGAAGGTTGAAGGATGCTTTTTCCATATCCCCTCTCCCTGTTTTCCCAATAAACCTGAAACAGGCACGATTTTGTTTCTGTATAGCAGTTGCTGAGAATTCACAGAAACATACTGTGGATTGTAATTTAGCTTACCCTCAGGTGATACATTATGTATCTCCCAGGATACATGGAAGCTTAAGGTTTGGGTGATTCTGTGCACACACACACCACGTCATGTTTAAACAGTACTGCTTTTAATGAAGCAACCTGGCTCTATTAAAATCCAGATCTGTGATTTGCAACTATTCCTCTGTATCTGCTCTCAATCAAGGGAAAAGGATGTCTCCCCTCCCTTGGAAGGGTTTTTTTCCCCCTTTGCATATGTTAAACTGATGCAGCATGCACCCAGGGCATCACTTCAGAGAGAGTTGTTCCATAAATATGTACTTCCCTCTTATATGCCAGATGTAGCCGAGGAGAGACTTGGGCAGGGAGTGGGGAAGAACCCTAGAAGTGTCAGCTCCACATACAGTTCTCGATGACCCTTGACTGGGGGTTTCTGCAGTGAGACAGTACTGGCTTTCCACTTTCTGGATGTTTGTTTGCTTTGATTACCAGATTGTGATTAAGCAACACATAATGCCTGAAACTTGGTTGCTTTTACCATTGATCTCAAGTTCTTGTTTATGTGAAGTCCAGAAAACAATAAATGGATCATGAGAACAAAGCACATTTAAAGAGAAATTTCAGTGACGGACAATTTCGGAGATGCGCACACAGATGCACACACAAAGTCCCCTACCCATGAAAGGTTTTGCGTGTGTCACTCTTGCTTTTTCCTTGCTGGAAAAAACACCAGCTCCTGGGAGTTTACAGGCGACACAGTTCACTGTCTGCGACTATAACTTGTAAGAAGGCATCAGGGCTGCTATTTTCTTTCTGGAAAACTGGTCTGAATTTTGAAGTAAAAACACAAGAACAAAGGAAATAGTTTTTGAGTAGAGTCAGTCTTAAGTTAGCCTTTGACCAT